TATCCTCATGTCCTTGACCAGGTGATCCAGCTTGGTTGCAAAGATCTACTCCTTATCCTCTCCCTTGCTACCTCAGGCCCCTGCAGAGGCTTGAAAACCTCTGCCACTGTGGAAGCCTTTTAACATCATCTGTCATTTTGTATTTTCCCAAGGAGGAAGTGATGGTATATTTTCAAAATTCCTACTTTCCATAAGTATAGCAGCAACATATGTACATAGAACAATAGCAAAAGTCAATAAACGTTTTCTGTTTCTTAAAAACATATAACATGTCAGAAATAGAATAAAGGCACTTGGGCCGGAGATTTAGCTCACTGGTTCTGCCATCTGCCTTACAAGCACAAGGACCCGAGTTCCATCCCCAGTACCCCCCCAAAAAAAACAAAAAAGCAAGAATAAAAGCACTTAACTACATCAAGAGGTTTGTTTATAGGATTTTATTCATTTATGGAATAACTACACGAGTTAGATTTTAGCACTCTTCAAAATATCATTCTTAGTACATGAGTTCTTGTGCCATACATTCATTCCATGGTGATTACAACATTTTATTACTATAATTACTGTTTAGAAATGGTTCTTGCTATGTATAGGTGTGTTTTTCTTCCCAGAAATCTTAATCCCAGTTTTTCTTCAAACAATACTTGGTAAAAGGGACATATTTCAGCTAGGCCTGTTGGCAAATGCCTGTAATCCCAGCACTTGAGAGGCTGAGGCAAGAGGATCACTGAGAGTTCAAGGCCAGCCTGGACCACATCGCATGACTCTGTCTCAAATGGGGGTGGGGTGGTGGAGGGATATTTCCAGAGAGCCATATTCTTATTTTGGGGAGTTTTATTTCTCCTTTTTTTTGGTACCGGGGATCGAACTCGGAACCTTGTGCTTGTGAGGCAGGCAACAGAACCACTGAACTAAATCCGGCTCCTGTATCTCCATTTTTTAAAAAACCTTTCTTCAGGTCAGTTATCTTCTCATTTTGTTTGTTATACTGTAGCTAATTCATCACCCAGAAAATAGTTTAGAACACAGTAGAGGTATAATAAATTATAATGTATGATTCATTGTAAAGTCAGTATTACAGATCACATAAGAAATATGATTCTGTATTTAAAAGTGAGACGTTTATAATTGGTTTAAGCAAAATCTCCCTAGTATGTAGAAGTTTCTTTAAAATTAGAATTTTAACCTAAATATGTAAGCCTTTTGCATGTAGGAGGTTGCTTATTATTATTATTGCAGCATTTGTTATTATTAGAAGCAACAGTAGTAGTTACATCATTAGCTAAGTAATGATAAGTGTTTTTCTTATGTTATCGTAAAACCTTTCTAACAGTTTTATTAGATAGAAGCTATTGCTGTGCCTGTTTTTATGGATGAGGAAGTTGAGCTCAGAGAAATTAAAGATTTAATTTCAAGATTATGAGGCTCAAGATCATATGGCTAGTAAATGAGCCAGGATTGAGATCAATTTAGTTGAAGAATTTAGGCCTCATACTTCCAATGCAAAAATAAGAATTTGATTTTGTCCTCAAAATTCCAAAGGGAATTAGGGAAGTAGCCAAATAGACATTAAAAAGAGAGGAAAAGAAAAAAGAAATACTTGCACTATAAGGTGGGGAAGATAACCATCCTCATGCTAGAAAAACATTAGCAGAATTTCTACAACATAAATAACACATAATTTCTCTGGTGTGAAAAACTATAATAGTACATAAGATCCTAATGATATGACTGGCAATGTGAAATAGGAGGAAAAGGGCTAAAGGTATAGGGAAAGTGGGAAGGGTATGGAAAAGGTAATAAGGGAAAAGAAAAAATATGAAAAAATGAAAAAATGGAAATAAAGTGTTTGTAAATGCACCGGGGGGGGGTGAAGGGAGGGCAGGGACAAGGGGAAAAAATGAGAACCAAAACCTGTCATGTAAAGGTACAAGATCCCAATAATGAATGTAACTGTACTGTATACCTAAAATGTACCAATAAACTCAATGAGAGCAAAAAAATAAATCAGGAAAAAAAATTCAGACAAGAACAGGTTGAAAAGTAAGACCCTACCAACCTGATGGGCACTATATATTAAAGCCCATCCAGGGAATAAGTTAAAGAAGCATCTTTTTTTTTTTTTTTTTTGTATATAGGGAAAGTGGGAAGGGCATGGAAAAGGTAATAAGGGAAAAGAAAAAATATGAAAAAATGAAAAAATGGAAATAAAGTGTTTGTAAATGCACCGGGGGGGGGGGGAAGGGAGGGCAGGGACAAGGGGAAAAAATGAGAACCAAAACCTGTCATGTAAAGGTACAAGATCCCAATAATGAATGTAACTGTACTGTATACCTAAAATGTACCAATAAACTCAATGAGAGCAAAAAAATAAATCAGGAAAAAAAATTCAGACAAGAACAGGTTGAAAAGTAAGACCCTACCAACCTGATGGGCACTATATATTAAAGCCCATCCAGGGAATAAGTTAAAGAAGCATCTTTTTTTTTTTTTTTTTGGTACCAGGGATCAAACTCAGGCCCTCGTGCTTGTGGAGCAGGCAGTGGAAACACTGAGCCAAATCCCTGGCCCAAGAAGCATCTTTTATTCCTAGTTTACTAACAATATCAGAAATCAGGTATAACCATTTTATCAAATGTCTTTCAGATACTATTTAAATAATCTTATAGTCTTCTCTTTTGATTTAACATGCACAGCTATACTAATAGAGTTCCTAAATATTCAACATTACATTATTTAAAATAGTAAGTTTTATATAATCATGAGCAAGACAGTTCACTCTGCAGAACCTGGGAACAACTTAGAAATTGGAATTTCAGGTACTTCAGAAAGCGGGGAAAAGATCTTGAAGTCTCCTTAGATTTCCTTTAGATTTCTTAGAATTTAATTTAGAACTAAATATGTTGGTTGCAAGTAAATACTTGTTCCATGAATCAATTATGTTGTAGTTCTATAAGTACACTTAAATGGCTATTCTGTATCCTGATGAATTTTTTAAATTATTAAACATACAATATAAAATCTTAAAATAGGAACCCAAGTATAGCTACAGGGCCTCTTCCTTAGGGATCATTTTGAGCAAGCTTGTATAAATATGCAGAAATATTTATAAGGATGAAAACTATAAGATCTTAACTAGTGTAATTGAGATTGATTTTTATGTTTCCCTCTTTTCAGTTTATATATACAGTACTGTGACTTTTTGGTATGCTTAATATTATCTACGTTATCTGTCATAGAATGAGAGCTTGGGAGAACTGAAAGCAGTTCTGATCTCTCTTACACCTTCAAATATTTTGTTAAACCTTTAGCTTTCTTACTATAACTTGTAGAAGTTGTTGGGTATTTTGTAGATTGATTTTTTTAAAAAGTCAAGTAGAAAGTAAATGTTATTTTTTTACTCCTCCCAAATGTAAGAGAGTAAAGAATAAAGACACTTATATTTGCAGGATTTAAAAATGATTTTAAATATTTTGGTTATTTCTATTTGCTTTGTAAAAGAGGAAGAGAAAAGTATAATGACCAATGAGACTTGGTTATCAGCAGGAAAATCAAAAGTAGACAAAGAATCAGAGTAGAAAGAAGGAAGCAAACCAGGAACAAGTAGTTAAAAGAAATAATAACTGTGAGCTTTACTTTCATTCAAGTTTATTTGTACTCCAAAACTATTCATCTCATGTATTCTGCAGGTTAAACATAGCCTTGCTTGGAAAGATAAAGTAGGTATCAACTAGTATAGGCGTAGAGTATATATGACTAAGTTTCTGCCTCTGGTACTAAGAAGTTTTGTGACATATGCAAATACATTAGTGTTCTGAGAGTAACTCAGCTTCCCGCAACTGTTCCTCAAACAGCAAACATTTGAATGGACTCCAGTTGGTTAGGGTTGCATCTTTTTCTGTCCTCTTTTTGTGTTGTTAGTTATATGAAAAAAATACTCTTGTATTACCAGCTAATTGTTTCACTCTTTTGTATCATTCTTCTTTTCTTATCTTCTAGACAGATTTTGAAACAGATTTGAGAATGGAAGAAGAGGTTTTAAATTGTTTTCTGGCATCTGGCAGGGAACTTGGTGGGCCATGTCTTTTGGCTCTTCTTATAAATACTTGTAAGCAGAGTTCTAAAGAGAGTTGGCGAGTCATTTGATCCCATATACTATATTCTAAAGCCTATCTTTAAGCAATCACATCAAATATACAGAGTTAGCCAAATAAGATTTGAGAATGGAAGAAGAGGTTTTAAATTGTTTTCTGGCATCTGGCAGGGAACTTGGTGGGCCATGTCTTTTGGCTCTTCTTATAAATACTTGTAAGCAGAGTTCTAAAGAGAGTTGGCGAGTCATTTGATCCCATATACTATATTCTAAAGCCTATCTTTAAGCAATCACATCAAATATACAGAGTTAGCCAAATATATATATACATGAGATTAATACAAATTTGGCCTCAACAAATATGAGAGGTGCTCAAAATGGTAGCCATTAGCTTCCAGACATTTATTAGTATGGCGAACTGCTAAAGTTTATGCACACACACACACACACACACACACACACCCTGTAACCAGGGATCTAACTCAGGAATTTTCTCTTGCTAGGCAGATGTGGCACCACTGAGCTAAATCCCCAGCTCCTATGTACTTTTTTTTTGACAGATTCTGTATATCTTTGGATTGGAGGCTAAATGAATCTAAGTCTATCTCCAGTCTAGGAAGAGTTCACACTGTGAAGGGTTAGTAGCACCATCTATTGAAAAATAAAAATAAAAAGACAGCCCATTGCTTAAAAACCACTGAAAACGCTTCAGCTAATCATATATTCCTCAGTTTCTAATCACCTAGTCACTTTGTTGGCTGTATTTTCTCCAAAATAGTCATTACTCATCAGAATTGTAGTTTCTTGCTGAGAACTAATACTTATTCAGTGACTTTAGCTGGCTCTCCCCCTCCTATTTATGGACACATTTGTCTTGATCTCTGAAATGATCTTGTTTGTATTACAGAGCTCTCATTTGGAAGAATCAGCAGTGATACTTTACTGTGAATGTGAAGAATCAGAAATCTTTAGTGATTTCAATGTACGTAGGTATATGGTTTTATAAAGCCTTTGATGACTCAAGGAAAAGGTTTATTGAGGAGGGCTAAATTTAGCTCTTAAATGCAAGTGGTACAGTGCTATTATTTACTCTGGCCCTACTCAGCTACATGTCTGGAAAGGCAAATACGTGTGTTGGAATGAGTGCATATATAAGTGGTATGGTGTAGTTATATACATAGCCATCTCCGTTCAAAGCATGTCTATCAAAGTAGGAAAAAAATATTGTACCATGAAACCCTAAATGTATCTCCCTCATTAAGGAATATGATTGTCTTTATGGCTTCTTCCCCCCTCATATCTACTCCCCTATGCACACTTTGGTGGTGGGGTTTAAAGCCAAGGCCATTTTTTAAATTTTTATTTTGAGATAGGGTCTTGCTAAGTCACTAAATTACCCAGGATGGGCTCAAATTTTCAGTCCTCCTGCCTTAGCCTCCTAGAGTGCTAGGATTATAGCTATGTGCCTTTATACCCAGGTTTTATTCATACCTTTTTTAATGGTGAATAATATCCTTTTCCTGGTGACAACTGCTTGGTATTAGTGCTGCAACTGGGCCACCATTCTCTATATTCACAGCCCTAAAGGTCCTGACTATTAATAAAGTTAAGCCAAATATAGTTGTATTCACTGGAGTGGAGAGATAACTTGATCACCTCAAATATAGAACATTGAACTATATAACTATTTCATGAGATTTTATAAATTTTGTTTATTCCATCTCACCCTCCACATAGTTTTCAAGGAATCAGGATGAATTTAGAAAATGAATTTAAATGACTTATTTTTATAGATACTGTAGTGGGTTGTGAGATTAGTCCAGAAATTCTCATTATATCCTGAGATATAAAATAAATTTCCCCTTATTCAATAGCCTGTTCCCCTTATTCAGTAGCCTGTTCTTTTTTCCTTAAAAGGGTGTTCAAATATATTGGCGTGAAGGGAAGAGTAGTGGGTAGGGAAAATGAATGTGCTCTCCAACTGTCAATTAGATATTTTTTCTTTGGACCAAAAAAGAAAAAAAAAAGTAAAAGAAATCTGAGAGAGTCTGGGCTAGAAGAATGCAGACCTAGTTACCATAAGTTTATGACAATTAGAAATAAACAGGATCAATTCTTTGTGAGAGGCCCTGATCTCCCCCCTCTGCCTCTCCTTTCAATTCAGATATCTAATTTACACTTTCATCTCTTTGCTTTCCACTGAATCTAAATTGAAATCTCAGGTGATACCCTGGTTTTAATTTTGCTGATCTTTACCATGAAGTGTACAAAGATTTGGAGTAGCACATTCCAAATGGCAGATTTGGAATGAGGAAAGATTTTACACAAGCATAGTTTTGAACTGTCACACCCTTAGGAGAGAGTAGGCTGGTGTTGGAATTTTCCCTCCATTTTTATGAGCAATTCAAGATGTTTGTACCAAATTGAAGCTAATAATATGGCAACCCTTTTTCTCATTTGGAGATTTGTTCTGTATCTTGCTATAGAGTGGATCCTACTTAACAAATTCTGTAAAGTACAGTTAACATGCTTTATAAAAGCTGAATTACAAAACACTTTTTAAAATTGGTTTGCACATTTGATTCTTTTTTCCCTAGGATTTTGCTGGACTTTTCCAGTAAAAAGTGATCTTTTCCAATACATTGTTGACTTTCACTCCTGAAAATTCTATCAAAGTAAGCTGTGCTTCTCATATGTTACCATAGTATTGCCTGGTTGTAAGCTTTAGTTCATCTTCATGGGACCTTCACAAATTATATTGACCAACCTGGTTATACTTCATTCCACAATGATAAGAGTGTGGAATGGCATGAATTCAGTTATTATGACTCACTAAAAGCTAAATTGTGTGCATGTCCCTAATGCTTGAAAACATTAACTGATGAATCCACATGAACACTCTTTTATTATCAACATTTAGTAGATGACAAACTGAGTATGGGAAGGTTATATTCTTTGCCTAGTGTTATCTAAGAAGGGACAGTGCTAACATCAAATATCAGCTGACAGCTATCAGTGAACTCATTACCAGAGAGCAGCATCATTGGTGGAATATTTAGGAGGCTCTTTATACAGTATCCTACAAAATTTATTTGTTAAATCTGTAGTGGAATTAGTAGCTTATTCTTATTGTTTTTACTGATTTTTGTCTTGAAGAGACCAGTGCATAGGGCTATATATAAAAATATTTTTATGAAGTGGGACACATGAGGAAAGGGTGACTCTAGTTTTAATGGTTTTTTCTCTCTTAAAAAGAATGTTAGGTATATGTACTTAGAAATTATACTTGATTGCTCTATTGCCAGAACTTTCATTCATTTAAGTCTGGTTTCTTGTGTTTTTTTCCTCTTCAGGAAGCAAGAAAGGTTAAATGAACTTGACTGACCCTTTGAAAGTATTGCTTACTCAGAGAGTATTTCCCATGTCCTTGCCCTACCTACCTCATACCTCTTTTTTTGTCCTTATTTCCATTCCCATGTGAAAAGGAATCGTTTCTTCTCTTTTTTGGGGGCGCTACTGGGGATTGAACTAGGGACCTTGTGCTTGTAAGGCAGGCAGTGGAACCGCTAAGCTAAATCCCCAGCCCTGAAGAGTTTCTTCTTGGCCAGGTGTAGTGGCGCACTCCTGTAATCCCAGCCCTCCGGAGGCTGGGGCAGGAGGATTGCTGTGAGTTCAAGACCAGCCTGAGCTACATAGTGAGTTCCAGGTCAGTCTCAACTACATAGTGAGACCCGTCTCAAAAAAAAAA